TTTAATTTTTGGGTATTTAAACATCTACTTAGTGTTAAGACTAGTTGTTGATTAAACACGGTGAAATATTAAAGAACACAGGAGTTAGTGAGATGTTTTATAATCATGGTCAATGTAATTAAAATTGATGTAATGATTTGTTTCTTTGCAGTTAAAAATTACTTAATAAGTAGACGCCTGCAGCTGTTCTATGGTAAGTGCCGATCTCAAGTTCTAAGCATAGGATTAGCGATTCTGTTCTTTAGAAAAGAAACTGTCCAAAACATTTTATACACGAAGTTATGTCACATCATTTTTTGTAAAGATCCTAAATCCCAACTCTAAGTTTACGTAATTGTGCAAAGTTTATGACAACCGAAATGGTTGCTGATAGATGTGGCAAAAAGCTCTGTCTATTTTCAATCGACAGATTATATATATATATTTGTTAAGTACATTCATACGTTTCTTATAGTGAATCGATATGATATGATGATACTTTTCTCCATCAGCTTGAATGTAAAATATTTTGACTATTTTGAAAACGAATAGGAATTCGAGAAGTATTCTACCACACTTAGTTTCCAGTATGTTAACATTACCCTATTGTTAGCATGAATACTGAAGAATATAGGCTAAATTCATGCACCAACTTGTCAGGACCGAATCGAAGATAGAAAAAAGAATCAATCGAATTTATTCATAATAGAAATTAATCGGTTTCCATTTTGGCATCGATTCAAGAATGCGAGCACAAAATAATTTAGAAAAATAACAACCCGACTTATTGAAATATAAATGTAAATCACTTTACTGATGAATATAGCGAAAATGATTGTACTTAGCATATCTATTATACAATTAATATTGTAATATTTTAAGTAAATACTCTTTTCTATTCTAGATATAGATAACTGGTGCAAATGTTATGACAAACAAATGCTAACAATGATATTAGTTTCAGCGTTCAATTGGAACTCTTATAGTTTTTTTTTTCAGGTCAAATTATAAACAAATCCAAATAATTTGTATGTTTCCAATTCTTGAAACAGACAGCTAAGAGTTTCATGTATAAGTAATGTAAATAGCTTTCGTCAATGTGTCTGTTTTATTTCCATTCAATATTTTTATTCAACAGAAAATTGTTAAATATTTTTCAAAGAAAAAACTGACATCATTTTATAAAAATTCTAAAAAAATTACTTTTAGACAAATTAAATTATTATCTACTTTTGTTTGGCGAATTGTTTGTTTTACATTTTCAAGTATAATAATATTGCCGAAAATTTCAAATCGCGTTTACAAATTTCTTTTTTTTACGCATGATAATGCAGCACTGCGATACGATGAATTTATTATGTTTCTACATGCGTTGTTTAAATTTTTCAAAACGAACAAAATTGCATGAAATTTGAATTTAGTGCAAGCTTGAATCCGATGGGATCTTAGAAATGTTGATAATGAAACTATAATCCTAATAATGATACTATTTTATTTTGAAAAAAATATTAGTGGACACTGATTTCCATTTTCCAGTGCAATTACAACGAACATAATCGTAAAATTATCTATGAAAACTATGATTCTCCATCTCTTCCCCTCCCCCCATCAGCTTAGTATGGAATTAATCAGTGACACTGGTACCAAACTAATTACATCGAATCAACTTAATGCAAACGAACTTAGGGGTAAAAATATAGATTAAATTTCCTATCAATTTCCTCCGTTTATTTCATAGGTAATGTTTTGATGCCGTGGTTGAGAAAACATATCTAGTGCTTTTTTTATAACTCTAATGATAATCTTTTCTGTCAGATAAATTGCTTTTTATGTCTGACATATGATTGTCATAATTAGATAGTTTTCAATAGCTATAATTGAAAAATATACATTCCAGTAAATTGATGACTGGCTAGACTTTATTTATCAGTAAAAAATTATCAGACGAACGAGCACTATACAACAATATTTTTCTAAGTCTGTTTCCATTTTCTGTTTATAAGCACACTTTTTTTGCTGTTGTTGTTGTTATTATGAGAATGTAAAATCATAAACCACAGAATGTTACTGTTTGGTAATTAATATTAATGTGGTTTATCATTTAATTATTTTCATTGAACAATTATAGCACTCAATCAAAAAAAATTGTACATGAAAGTTTTTCAGTTTAGATTTATCAATCCAAGCAGGTAGATCATTTGGATTAATGTAGACTGGAGTGGTAAATTAACGTTGGTTAGTTATCTTTTTTTTGAAAAAAATAGATCTAATCTAACTTTAAAAAATATATCATGTAATTTATTATGAAAAGAGAATAAAAATGAATATATCATTCATTACAGATTATTTACAAAACTAAATTATTATATATTCAGAGATCACATGTAGCAGATTTTAACTGTTTCTCAAAAATAATATATGCAATAATTGATAGCAGTGCATAGTTCATTTGCCGTAGTGAGGAATAATAATTAAGACTGGAAATATGAACACTTGATGTAGGCAACAAAAAAAAAAACCGTAATGTAATGACGTAAAATTAATTATGATTACTTACTAAAATACTATCAAGTCAAGTTAATGTTCTCAACATACATTTGACTCCATGTATTTAATATATTTATTAACCATCAGACTTTATTCATTATGTTCAATCCATATCGCCGAATATACTTTTCGCATTGCTTTCTAAGTGAATTTGTGTCATTAGCATAGTTTTTTTTTAATGAATTAGAATTCAATCTTTCAAAATAAACAATAATTTCCGTACACTTATGTAGTTTTTGTATAGAATCGAGACTAAATTTTTGGAACGATATCCTTTTTACTTATTTTTAAACACTTCAAGTTATGTATATTCATTCAGTGAATCTGCTTTTCATCGATTTTATATGAAAGTACTTTTCTTTGACTAACAACATAATATACTTAGTACAATATAATAGTTTATATTCAAAAAAAGGAACAGGAAATTTAAATTCTATTTAATACTTTTTAAATATCAAATAAAAACACTAATTATTCAATAGTATCAAGACAAAATAATACTGCTACTTTGTTTTAATGTCATTTGCAGTGAATAAATTGAATAGTGACAAAAATTAAATACCTTAAATTAACAAAAATATAGACAGAATCACATGACAAATTTTAATAAAAAAATATTGGATTATTTAGATTTAAATTTATTCTATAAGATAAAGAAATAATCTGTTGTTTACTTTCATTAGCAAGAATATTTATTTTGTTTCGTTGAAAAGATGACTCGATTTGAAGCAATCACCTATCTAACCGTACATCATTACGTAACAAGCACTCGTCTGTGGTAGATCAAACTGAAAATATCTCCAATCGAATTACAAAAATTGTATTTTGTATTTGTTATTTAAATATTTGTTTATGAAAACTCTTAATGTTTTATTGGATGATTCGAGTGGGAATCTGATGTAATTCTGGTCAACTGTATGGTGTTGCGTGTTATTTGTTATTGTAAATTGGGAAAATACTGTACAAGAATTATTTTATCGATCGAAACAAGGCTATACGTATGGATAAACTTGGTAAGAGCATAGAATATTTGTCAGTGATCAACAAAAACGAATACATCAAGTGAATTATTTAAGAATGTAGGATGACGTTGTTAGAGATTGTTTTAATTTCGAAATAATCTTGAATAAAAAAACATCAACTGATAGTACAGTTCTGCACAGTACTTCGAAAAGACGAATTTAATGTCTGAAAATATTATTTATTGATGATTGTTGTGTGATTTGTAGATATAAAATAGAATATTGATTGAAAATATTATGACTAGAGTTATATATTATTTAAATAAAATGATATATTCAAAAGGATAAGACAGTTCTCTTTACATCCTATGTATAAGAATTATTCGACATTTTATTAGAAAGGACATAAGTTGGTGGTTCGCATGAAGATCTATGGATGGATTTAACAATTATTATCATTTGTTGCAGTTAAAAATGTTCAGGCAGACCGGTCAACATTCTTAACCATGAGATACATCAGTCATGTTTCTCAGTGTAAAATAAAACAGATCCCTATAACTGAAATTAAAATATGGTTTTTACAATTGGTGTATCTATTGAGTTTATTAAATCATCGCTATCATATAGTTTGGTTACATCGTTTTCGATTCTTAATTGCCTTATTATTGAATCTCGAATCATGCTATTCTTTGTTACCGTCACTGACATTGCGTAACCTCTAGAAATGTTTAGGTGTTATGATCTCTAGTTGTTCGTTCAGTAAACTTGAATTTCCCCTCTCATACTGTATTTATATGAAGTAACAGTTTTTCAATCTAAATAACAGTGCTGAAGTCTGCGCTCCATCATAAAGATACGTACTCCTACATAATCAACTTTATTTACATAAAAATATGTGGATTTCTATTGTTAATTTAGACTTTAGAATAATACAGGTTGTCAGCCAGTCGATAAGAATCTCATGGCATTAGATGAATCCATGTAATTCTACTCAGATTTTTATTTTCACAATCAAGAATCAATTAACATTTGTTTTAATGTTGTAATTTTGAGAGAAAAAGGACTATCTATTCTGAGAGTGCGAATTAAGTTCACATGAAAAATCTTTATGCTATTACCATCGGTAAATAATTTGAATAGGTTTATTCGTGCAGAAGAAATCAGTTTTTATAACAAAAATTACATCTAATCAGCGACATAAGATTGACAGGAAATAATGAAGTTTCCTTTGAATTCGTTATGATCAAGCCAAATATGCAAGGTCAGATATGGTGAAATGTATGGTACACTGTACAAGGAATAGATATCATGTTTTGTCTGTTGAAATAACTTTCATCGAAAATATTATTGAATTTATTTTGCATTCAACAAATAATCTGCTCAATATATCTTGACAGCGGTAGAACAGTGTAAACATTTTTTTTACTTTCACAATGGCAAATAACAAATACATTAAAACAAGAAAAAAACAACAATTTAATTTAAGCGGAACAAAATCAATTTACTATTTACCGAAAATTAAAGCCTGCAGCGATTTTAGCATTTGCATCATCTAACCGTCGGAATGAATATGTTGGATTACAGTATTGAACATCCCAATCAAGATCACATTTCCAGTCGATATCAATACCGATTACACCACCCTGTAATTAGGAAAATGTCAAAAAAAATATATTTATGAGTTCTTCAAGAAGTACACATATGTATATATCAGCAGAGTTTAAATGAAATGCTTAAAATATTACGTCGAACTGGGGAAAACATACATTGAGAGAGCAGTGAAGATACATACACGGATCAAAGATTATTGGCTATCGAATGAAGAAACACCTCTTGATAAATTGAATTTTCCTAACACATTCTTTGATCGATAAACAAATATCCTCTTTAATATACCAACTCTGAATAGCAGTTCGTTTTTGAACGGGAGATGCCTATATTCACTATTTTTATTCACCTATTCTGCTGGAACCTTCAGCTGACATTTATTCGAACCACTTTAATCTTATCATTATAATGACCTTAGATTTGCACTAAAAACATTGATTCAAACAACTATCTGCTAAAGATACGATGCTCAAAGACTACACCTAACAGTCGGATCTTAATTGATTATCGAATGAGTAACCTGTAAGTTAATTTCCTCCTGTCACTGATAACATTTCATCATGTTTATTGAATATCCTTATTTTTTATGTAGGCCTGTTATTTTATCAGATAAAAGACCATGAATCTGGTAATTCGTGTTATTTTTGATATCTACTCGTTTTTTAGGTCTAAGTGAATTATATGATATCGTGAGTAACCCTCACACCAAATAGCATTGTATCATTGTGTTCAATCATTGATTAGCATTCTGTTTATCAGTGTTAACAGTCAAAATTTTGTTTAGATCAAATCGCAAAACAATCACTTTTAATACCGATTATACCGCTTACGTAAATCATCGAATGAAATGTTACATTGTATTGTATTTAGGTTAAAAATAGGAAAGAACCATATCACAATTAAAATAAATAAAACTCTTTAAATGATCGACAAATTTAAACATTGTGTTTCATTAATTACATTTCTCACATAAATCATTATTTTATTATCTGTGAAAGAGATTACTTTAGTAAATAATTAAAAATTATTGTTAAAGGAATAAATCATTGAAAATATTGAAATTTTCAAGTTAGCGAAATAATTAAAACTGGTGATTTTGTTCAGTGCTTCACAATCTTAAAATACATATGTAAATAAGTCGACTGTTCACATTGAACACATGTTAGGTTAGCATAATTTTTTGTGTGAAATGTGTCTACTAAGAAGTGAGTAATTTAGTGACAACATTTTCGTAGTATTTCTAGACATCGTGATCAATGACATAATGTCTGGTAATTTCTTCACTTATCGCTGAAACCTAGCAAAGTATCTTGATATCTGGGTATGAGGTTGATGAGTTCATAGTTTCGGAGAAAACTTGAAATGCGATTGCCTACTTTGAGAGAAGTGAACTTACCGATATCCATATACACATTTGTATTAATGTTTGGTAGACAGATTTCAAAAAATCCTCATAGTAGATTATATCCTAACATCTGTATTTATTTACTGTCAGAAAACACGACTAGATGTTCCATTGTATGGTAATGTGTAGTGATATCTCTAGTAGCTTACGTGTTTTATGATAACGGATATTTGTTTTGTTATAAAATATTAAATATATAACGTTTATAGTTTTTCTTACTCTGGGATTCTATAAACAATACTATTTATAAATAAAAAAAATATAGTATTAGTTGAACAATCACATGATACTGTTGGCTTTTTCCGCAGGAATTTAGCAACTGAGACAATATATGTGAACTTTTTACTTCACTTCATGCTGGAAAACAATTCTTGGCACAAAGTATAACAAGAAAAACATATTGTGCAAAACTATATCAATTAGTAACTTTGGAATTCATATGATCAATATCTAAGAATTTTCGACGATAATAATAACGATTTTCATAGGGTTGTTGTATTGTTCTCGATCCTATTAACCAGTGTAGACTGTCTTTAGTATGATTATACTAATTAAAATTATTGAATTTTCTAATGTTTCGAATAATTTGTTTTCTTCAGTACATTTTATATTTTTTCCAGTAAGATACATTATTATCTATTTTTAACACCTGTTTCTGAATGACAAACTTATCGTATCTAACGAGATAATCTTATATCATAAGGAACAATTCATTGATACTTTCCGATCTTGATAAAAATTAATTGTTATTTTCGATGCAAATACAATTTAGAAAATGAAAGCATTGAAATTACAGAGAAGCTCAACTTTAAAAACTTAGTTTATGTATCAATTGTAAAACAATGAGAAATATTTTATTTTCTTAGTGAGTAGATTTGTTTAGATAGTAAAATTAATTTTTCTTATCATCGTTGTAAGATAATCGGTTTGCTAATTGAATGCTTTGATTTCAGGATCAAAAAAGATACTTAATAATTGATTGTTGTCAATTTTTTTCATTTTACTTTGGTTTTCAGATGCATAAAACACTTTAAGCTACTCACTATGTTTCTGTAATTTTTTTCTCGTGAATTTTCTTATTTCACATAAAATAAAATTTACTCAGACAAGAAGAAATAATCAGATTCAGTGATAATTCATTTTGACTGAATTGGACTTAATTTCATAAAATGAAACTGGCACTACAAGCAGTTATTTTAAACATTTTTAACTAAATAATCATAGGTTAAATACACGACACTTTTTAGCTATATACATATGTCATAGAGGAAAGTTGATATCTTGTTTATTACTGTTGAGTTGGGCTATTGAAAGAGAACAAAATTTGGCATTAGTCTCATGTTTGTAAATATTTCTATTATTGGATATCACTTCATAATTATAGTTAAACGCTCATTTCCTGTTAGTGAAGAATCCAATTTTAATTATTACTAATAATGTTGTGATAATTAGTTCAATCGGTTTGTTGTATAATAGTCATGCAGATATTTACTTTGATCATTCTTCTTAGGCTCATTTATCTGTCAAATGAATGAGTTCGTTGAAAATAATTCTTTACAATCTAGTGTAGGTTCATTGTCGGTTTTGTTTTACTTTGATGTGTCACAGTGCTGATTTTCAACGTAGTACTAAAAAAATCTGAAGTATTGAGGATTCAGTACTGCAGATTCATAATATTGAGAATTAATCGAACTCAATATATATCGTTGGCTAAAATACATTGATAGAAACGACAGAATTATTTAAAAAATTGTTGCATAAAAATTAATTCCAAACAAAATCGTATATATTAACATTGCATAAATGAAATAGTGGTGACTTTAGAAATTAGAAATCAAGATATAATAAATAGATCGGTTGAATTTCGGAAAAAGTCTCATTTATTGGAAACATGAAAAAGGTCTAAACCAAAGTCTGCATTTATATCATATATATATGTTAATTTGAAGACCTATTACAAGCAGCTTTGAACAAAAATACAACATACCAGCAGACTATATTTAATTACGCCCATCGTAGATCACAAATTTACTGAGGTCGAAACTCATGAATCGGTGGTATAATGTTTATGTTCATTTTAAGACTTAAAACCTTCACTTTACTGGTCTTATTTAAAGATCGATATATAGACGTTTTAAAAGAGTCTCATTCAACACAACACAGTTAGTTGTTTATTTCTGAAATGATCTTTATTTATTTTCAAGGATGACAACAGTCTGTTTTTCTACATATCATTCATGTCATCGATGATTAACATCGCTAAACACTAGGAATGAAGAAATAAAATTACTACATACTAAGAAATAAAGAAATGTCTAGACAAAAATTAAAAAATTCTTTTTGACATAAATCATGATAACAGCAATAAGTAGTTGTTTGTAATTTCGAAAATTTTTTGAAACATCTGTCAGACAAATTTTCCTTCTTACTGTTTTTTTAATTGATAGCGCAATCTACTTAAACTGAACAGATAAATACAAAGACGTTAGGTGGATAGAAGGAGGCTAGCACAAAACCTAAATTTAGTTATCATCCAAGTTGACACCAATCAGTCACCTGAAATTCAGTCATCATGTCCACAATATCAATTTAATTAATCTAATCGTTTCGTTGGAATCTTATGGATAAAATTTGATTAACACTAGACACAGGACAAGCATGAATACATGGCGATCAATCGTGAATGCGTGTTGATACACTTCTGATTATTGACATTTCAGACATTTATTTGATCCTTTCGGATAGGTCATGAATTACTTGACAATAAAATACAAATTCTGATCTGAACTACTATGATCAGTTGCTTCATTGAAAATATTTTTTTCTTTAACTAACTAATTATGTTATGCAATAACTATTTATTGGATAATAATCAGTTCACAAACATTATTATAATCTTGATTTTTCAATCGTTTAAACGCCAGTGAAACAATCTAATCTTATCTAATAATAATCTTGAAATCGACCATATTTTGACATTTTTCATAAGAAATAAATGTCAACTGGGAAAAACATAATTGTACCTTTTACTGACAATTAAATAGGTTACAAAAGAAATTAGCATATACATATATCATCTACATGTAGTTTGTTAGCTGACTGTCGAAAAGCATATTGTATATTAACTAAAGCGAATGTATTCAATGCCGAAAAGTTCACTGATAAAATGTTAATGTAGGAGACTATCAGTCAAACTACTTCATCAAAACAATAGCCGTTTTAAATCGATTAATTCTGAAAAATTAAAATCAATATTAACGAACGCGTAATTCTGATGTGATTTTTATGTACATCAGTGTTGTTCACATTCTTCGTCACATTGTTTGAATAAATTGTGTTCTTGACTTTTATATTTTTCACACAGAATTTGTAAATTGTTTTACAATCTATATATTTTAGTGTAATAGATCGAAACGGTCAAATGACAATAGTGTATTTAGTTAACTAAGATAAAACTAACAAAAGTCACTTTTAAATCATCTTCAGATATTGTACACTGAACATTTGGTATATGAAATACTCTGATGTTATTGAACAATGAATGCGGGCAGATTTCGAAAGAATGGTAAACATAAGTGCATAAATAAGAAAATGGTGTAACTTTTGCATCATTTAGGAGGACAATGCAAA